CGTCAAGCTATGTTAAACTATAAATTAGTATAATAAACTAATAAAGTAAACTTTTAAATAAATTTAATATTAATAAGAATTGACTGAAATATTTTCAAACCTAAAGGGAGAGCACTATCATATTAAAAAAAACAGACTAGTCTATTGTAGAATGACAAACTTAAAGCTTATAAAACAAATATAATAAGATGAAATGGATTTTAAAAAGTTTTTTTTGTTGAACCTAAGCTTTGTCAAAACACCTGAGATGATAATAGTGCAACAATGGATGCACATGTTAACAAAATTGATGAAAGTACTAGAACAGATGAGAAAAATAAAACAATAAAACGGATGAAAATATTACTAATGCATGAGTGTGTGACTAAAACAGATGAAAATTTGACTAAAATAGATGAAAATATAGCAACAACAGATGAAAATATGACTAAGCTAGAAGAAATTGCAACAAACATAGTTGAAATGACTAAAACATTACAAAGTCGGCCACCAACTAAAGCAAATAGAATATGCCTAAACAGATGAAAATAGAAGAATTCGAGGTTTTGACTAAAAAACCAAGACAAAAATCAGTGTTATTGTTTGACATCATTAACAGGATGTACACTTGCCGGAATAAAACTTTATTAAAATGGAGGTTGAGGAATTCTTTGGGATACAATCTTGCGTGGATATAATTGTAATATAAACAACACAAAAATTTAGAATTTTATGAAGTAAAGCTGTGTTTAGGGAGAGAAATATGGTTTTAACAGTTAATTAAAAAAACAACAACTAGCCACTATAGTTATCTCCCTTACAGTTTTAAACAACAATCCATTATAGTTATCTCCCTTATAGTTGTTTTTAGAGGCCACAAAGAACAAGTAATGCAGTCCCTGTGTTACACAGCTGTAGAACAATTTCCTAAGGTAGCTAATGCTGCCATTTTGCTTTGACTTATCACTAACAGGAAGTAAATTCTTTGTATCATTTGTAACAAATGTTTAGAATACATTCTTATAACATTTAATATAACAATAAAATGACTCATTCAAAATCTACCATTATGAGGTAATATATTTAAAATGTTTAACTAAAAAATTAAAATTATCAGATCTGGTACTTAAAAAAAAATTATACAAAAAAAAAAATTCACTTAGGAAGGCTGAGAAAAAAATGTATTGTTGACCAACTTTTTAAAATTTGGTTCTGTTTGAAGTACATAACAATATAACAAAATTGACAAGTTGATCATATTTGGTTGAACACACATTACACAACACTTTCTATATATTATTGAAAATATTCAATAATATATATTATTCAATATATGAACCGACCCAAATAATGATGAATTCAAATACAATGACAAGATTGGCTAAAAAAAAAAATGGTGAACATACTGGTGTTTCATATCAAATTGTTCTTAGAACTCTTGATTAAAATTCACTCACTTATGTCTGAAGATAAAAAGATATCTACATCTATTTCAAGGTGATCACACAATATCTTTATCTGCTGAGGTAAATAATAATCATTAAAAAAGTTTTAAAAAACCCACGTTTTCTGATTGAACTAAAAAGTAGAAAATAAATGCTATAGGCCCTACATCACAATAATGCAAGCGATCACTCTACTATAAGCGATGAAAAACGTGGGGCGCCGAAGTAAAAGTTATATTACTATTGATTAGATAATACTATTGACTTTTATTAGGGAGCTTGTAGAGAGTCAACAGTATTAGAAACTGTAAGAAAATCACGGCGCCCCACGTTTTTGCTCGCTTATAGTAGAGTGATCGCTTGCATTATTGTGATGTAGGGCCTATAGCATTTATTTTCTACTTTTTAGTTCAATCAGAAAACGTGGGTTTTTTAAAACTTTTTTAATGATTATTATTTTCTACTTTTTAGTCTTTGTCTGTTTGTTTGCATTAAAATCTTGCTATCGATTTTATCTTTTCACTTTTTTTGGGTAAACGAAGACAACTCGTAAAAAGACAACTCGTAAAAAGACAACTCGTAAAAAGACAACTCGTAAAAAGACAACTCGTAAAAAGACAACTCGTAAAAAACACGTTGTGTGAATACGTTACTGACTAGAACACATAGATTTGAACCCGTGTCGAGTGGGATAGCAATCGTGTGCCCAACCACTCGACCATATCGTCTCCCCCAAACTGGCCTACCTCCTGTAAGTTTAAACTCGGTTCAAGCTAAATTCTCTGCCCCTAAGCCTGTGGCGACATGTGATCGTTCGCTTCACTGCGCGCGAGGTACGCGTCGCTGGTTTTTTTTCTAATGGCTAGCAGAGGAGAATTATATATATAGATTATATAGCGGTCTAAAATGCTCAATAAAATGTTTCCATTGATCAATTTAGTAATAATAACAATTGAATATTCAATGGTCATCCAAAAGAAAGCTTCCCTGAAAATTTCAGCGCGCTAGCTAACTGGGAAGTGCCAGAAATTTCGATCGCAAGATTGGATTGGAAAGACAAACAAATAAATAAATAAATAAACACACAGAGAAAGCAAGTTAAAGAAAACGTGGGAAAAAACAGGTAACTCTATCTCCTTTACTGGTCAATGGGGTTAGAAAAGGTAACTAAAAAAACTTGTTTGGTTAATATAGTACCCAAGGGACATAACCATTAGGGGAGTTATTTCTCATATTATTTTGGTGTATTGCTTAACAATAGATTTTGAAGAAAAGACTTAATTTTAAATTTAAAAAATCTTTTTTTTTCATTAAATCTTATCACTAATTTTGTTAATTACATGCCATCAATTAAAAAATCCATTAATTAATATATCACCTGCATTGCTATACAAAATACTAAATATTTTGATTCAAAGAACCAGATTGTGGAAGAAAAAACCAACAAAATGCTCAAGTGAATACAAGCCTAGTAATGGTTAGTTGGAATCACAAATAGGACATATTACATATCAAACAAGCCTCTTACATTACATCTTACATAATTTGTTTTTAACACGTAAATTAATGCACCAATCTAACCAATACTCAGCCATACAGCCACTTAATTACATCTTACATAATTTGTTTTAAAAGTTTTTAACACATAAATAAACACACCAATCTAAACAAGATTTGGTCACACAGCCACTTACATTACATATTACATCATTTGTTTTTAACACATAAATAAACGCACCAATCTAACCAGGACTTGGCCACACTGCGGCTCACATTACATTAAAAGTTTTTAACACATAAATAAACGCACCAATATATTATTTAAAAACAACTCCTTTAAAGACACAGTAACAGGGGATGGAATGTGTAGACAGCGTGTATTACTGTAAACTTCAGATGTTTTGATCTCTTTATCTATGTACAACTCAATATAAGCAAAACTAAAATCATTAAACAATACTGCAGATCTTGTTTGAAAATTATCTTAAGGATCAGTAAAACTGAATGCTTACAAAAACAATTTAAAGTATTTACCAATGAATGCAATAGGGTAAGTATGGGGAAAAAAACAACAAAAATGTGAGCAATTTTTTAAAGCAAACCTCTAATTATGGAAGTTGCTTTCGTGATCTTGGAAATTATGGAAACAGTTTAAATTACGAGGATTTCTTCTGAGACCTGAGTCAAATAATTGTATAACGCTATAAAAATGTGTTTTACAGTATATCTTACATGAACAAAAGAAAACGTTTACAGTAATTGTTTTAAAATCAGTGGGATCGGTGGTTTCAAATGAAACAAAAAGATTTTAATTGTTTTAGCAGTTGAACAAAAATATCTACATTTTGGAAAAATCACAACTTGAAGTTGGACCACAAAGTCAGAACTGGCAACTTAAAAAATAAATTAAAAAACAAACAAACTTGGCTAGTTATCTTTTTGATGGACTGGTTTGATTTTAACAAACAATATTTATTGCACTAGATGAAAAACAAAACAAAATCATGGGCCTATTGTACAAAGTGTAAACAGATGAAATTTGTGAACAGATTAAAAATGTGAATGGAAGCAAAATGCTAACAGATGAAAATGTAAACAGATGAAAAATGTGAACAAATGAAAAATTTGAACAGATGAAAAATGTGAATGAAAAAAAAAATGTGAATGGATGAAAAATATGAACAGATGAAAAATGGGAACAAATGAAAAATGGGAACAGATGAAAACTGTAGTAAATGGATGAAAATGTGATCAGACAATTCAACTTCTGGAAGCTCATGCCTCGACCATTACAACAAAAGCTGTTAAAAATAACTGCTAAAACACCAAATTCATTGGTTAATTCAGTAAATTAGGTAATTTAACTTTAATAAAAATACTAAGTAGATCAAATTACTGTACTGGTATTTTATTTTATAATGGACATCATATCACTATAGGTCAGGGGTCTCCAAACTTTTCAGTTCGAGGGCCGCATTAATTATCAAATTTCAGTTCGGGGGCCAGTTTCTTACACTTACAGGCATGTCTTTGATTTTCTTGGGCAAAGCTCCTCAGCCATCACCAACAAACGTTTTTTTTCCGTGCACAAAAAGATCTCCGCGGGCCGGATGAGAGGACATCGCGGGCCGCATCCGGCCCGCGGGGCGTAGTTTGGAGACCCCTGCTATAGGTCATAGTAAACTGGTAAAACAAACTAAAATATTACAGAATAGAACACCCCTCACTATTTGCTGATGCAGCACATTTTGTATTAATTCACGGCTTTGTATTTATATATATCTTAAAAATTTTAGAACAATGGTAAGTTCAAACTATTGGAAGATATCACAACAATCAATATAATGAGTTGATTACATAATGAGTTGGTCACATGATGAGTTGACCACAAGAATCAAAATAACAAGTTGACCACAAGAATCAAAATGACAAGTTGACCACAACAATTCACATGATGAGGTGACCACAAGAATCAAAATGACAAGTTGACCACAACAATTCACATGATGAGTTGACCACAAGAATCAAGATGAAAAGTTGACCACAACAATTCACATGATGAGGTGACCACTAGAATCAACAAGACAAGTTGACCACAAGAATCTACATGATAAATTGACCACATGACAAGTAGACCAGAAGAATCAAAATGATAAATTGACCACATGACAAGTTGACAACAAGAATCCACATGATAAATTGACCACATGACAAGTTGACAACAAGAATCCACATGATAAATTGACCACATGACAAGCTGACCACAAGAGCCAACATGAGAAAACAAGCTAAGCCTCACAACATAAGAACCAGGAAGTCAGGACGAGGTGAGCTCTAACAGGTTGTGACAGCTGGACGACTTGCAAGGACTGTCCGGGGGAAACTGGGGGTCAGAGTTGGCCATGTGCATAGGGGACAGGGCAGTGTGGATCTGCTGGGAGACACGGCGACCGCGGCGTAGAAAAGTCTCCAGCTTGTCGACACAGGCGTCTTGGTATTCATGGACCCACCTGTCCAGAACAAAACAGTGGTTTGTTATATACATTTGATGCACTTCAAGAACGAAAAACAAAAATAAAAAATTGAAGAAAGTGAATTGAATACGTTTGTGAAATCTGGTTTAACTAGCAAGAAGAGATAACAGTTGATACAAAGTTTTGTCAAGTACAATGCAGGATGCAGGTTGAATAGTATATGGTGTCTAACTCAGGTCTAGAATATTTTGTCGTCCCCCCCCCCCCCCGCTAATTAATTACACATTGCTGGGTAATTCCTCATACTCCGCCGTTGAGAATTGTAACAGTTAAATGTAGATGAATGTATGTTTCGAGTATGTATCTTAAAAAGGCGATATGAATATAAAATATAGGATGGGTGTGCGCATGCGCTAAGGAAAGGAAGCAGAAAGAGGTAGATAGAGCGCGGGGAGATGACGAAACTGGAGTCGTGGTTCTAGTAGTGTAGCTGATATCAATAAAATACTGTAAAATCACCAATAATGTGGTTTGTATTTGCCTTTAGTTTGTGCCATGAACCCAGTCATACAAAAGGGCTGTGACAAGAATAAATGTTATATCTATAACTATCCCTACCCAAAACATATCCTTAACTTATCTCTAACCCTATTCCAATTATTATAATTAGTACTTGGGGGGTAATGTCCGATTGTATGTTTTTTGGGTGAGAGTAATTGAATAGAGGGGGGGGGGTAATGTCCTGCTCCCATCAAACCCAAGAGCAAAACCCAACAGCTCACATTAAGCCAAAGTGTAAAACCCAAGAGCACTGACTCACCTGACACTGTTGAATCTGACGACCCCCCTCATATCGGCTGGCAACTTCTCCACTGGAGGCCACTCAAAGTTGTCTATGATGGGGACGATGTTACAGTTGGTCTCTAGGGCGGCAGCTATCTCTTTATGGACCCAGTCCTCTTGGGCCTCGTCACCTGCAACACAATACTCCATCAAACACACTGTACCACACATTTTTATAAAGGTCCTTGTTACATTGGGCCTTTGGGGCCTCGTCACCTGTAACACAATACTCCATCAAACACAATGTACCACACATTTTTCTACAGTAAAGGTTTTTGTTACATTGGGCCTCGTCACCTGCAACACAATACTCCATCAAACACACTGTACCACACATTTTTCTCCATAAAGGTCCTTGTTAGTCATAGCGATGAATTTGGCAAATTAAGAAATTTCCCATGTTTCTTGACCTCAGCATATGAAGGGATAGTGTGGTCAGCCCTATGCACAGCCAACTTTACTTTCCCCAATGCAAGTCAGGTACCCATTAAAGCTGGGTGGACTCAGGGACAACCTACAGTTTATGTCAGAAATCGAGATCCAAACTCGAGACCATCTTCCTAGCAGCCAAATACCACATCAAAGTCAAGAGAACTTAAACACCTAACAAAGGTCAAGAAAATGAGTACCTATACACCTGACAAAGGTCAAGAAAATGAGTACCTCTACACCTGACAAAGGTCAAGAAAATGAGTACCTCTACACCTGACAAAGGTCAAGAAAATGAGTACCTATACACCTGACAAAGGTCAAGAAAATGAGTACCTTTAAGCATGACAAAGGTCAAGAAAATGAGTACACCTGATAAAGGTCACAAAAATGAGTACCTATACACCTGTCCAGAGAGTCAGGTGTGAGTATGAGAACAAAGTGGCTGGACATCTGGATGCTGTACAGCAGGTTCTCATCAAACTTCCCTGCACGCAGCCTGTCAATGTCCAGGAACACAGAGAACCCTCTCAGCTGCAGGTGAACTTTGAGTAGGCTGAAACACAGGATAGCACAACTTATGCTGGATTCACATGTAACACCCAACAAGACAAATAAAGCTTGGTTCACAGCTAACACACAACCAGTGGAATAAAGCTAGATTCACATCTAACACACAACAAGACAAATAAAGCTTGGTTCACAGCTAACTCACAACCAGTGGAATAAAGCTAGATTCACATCTAACACACAACAAGACAAATAAAGCTTGATTCACAGCTAACACACAACCAGTGGAATAAAGCTAGATTCACATCTAACACACAACAAGACAAATAAAGCTTGATTCACATGTAACAGAGAAATCAAACTTCCAAAACATGACATTCAATCTATTTAATAAGTTACATTTTCAAAGTCCAACATAGCAAATGTTTTTCTTATATTCTAGATTAAAAACTATATTTTGTAAGCACAATGTGCCTAATCTCAACCTTGTAAATCTGACAAAGTTAAAAAAAAATGTTCTTAGTATCTTAAAAAAAATACCACCAATGTGCATTCAGTCACAAAAAAAATGACCTTTTTAAAAAAAACTGACCTGGCAAGTTGAGAACCACTGGACCTTCTGTAACAAATAAAGACATCGATACACCTGAGGGTAGTCAGGTTGACACTGAGGCTGGGGTCCAGGGCCGGCAGGTGGTGGTGGTGGTGGTGGTGGGGCAGGCTGGGCGTCTCAGGGGTGGTCAGGTCTGGACAAATTGAAGCAAATGGTCAGAAGAATGCTAGACAAAATTTAAAGCTGAATCAACTCATCGTCATCATCTTTTCCCATTTGTGCCCAAGACACATGGGGCAGGTGAAGTAGAGTTCATCTGTTTCAATGAGCTCTGCATATAGGTGGATAATGTGGTCAGCACTATGCCCTACTGCCCAGTGACCTTCTCTATGACTAGGATCTGATGCCTGTGTATAGTGTCATGAATGGTACTACGTTGTGTATACTGTCATGAATGCTACTACTTGACATACTACCTTTTCTATGAACCATGATCTGCTGCCTGTGTATACAGTTATGAATGCTATTACGTGACATACTACCTTTTCTATGAACCATGATCTGCCGTCTGTGTATACAGTTATGAATGCTATTACGTGACATACTACCTTCTCTATGAACCATGATCTGCCGCCTGTGTATACTGTTATAAATGCCACTACGTGACATACTACCTTCTCTATGAACCATGATCTGCCGCCCGTGTATACTGTTATGAATGCCACTACGTGACATACTACCTTTTCTATGAACCATGATCTGCCGCCTGTGTATACTGTTATGAATGCCACTACGTGACATACTACCTTTTCTATGAACCATGATCTGCCGTCTGTGTATACAGTTATGAATGCCACTACGTGACATACTACCTTCTCTATGAACCATGATCTGCCGCCCGTGTATACTGTTATGAATGCCACTACGTGACATACTACCTTTTCTATGAACCATGATCTGCCGCCTGTGTATACTGTTATGAATGCCACTACGTGACATACTACCTTTTCTATGAACCATGATCTGCCGCCTGTGTATACTGTTATGAATGCCACTACGTGACATACTACCTTTTCTATGAACCATGATCTGCCGTCTGTGTATACAGTTATGAATGCCACTACGTGACATACTACCTTCTCTATGAACCATGATCTGCCGCCTGTGTATACTGTTATGAATGCCACACTCTTCCTTCAACTCCTCCTCCTTAAGGGACTTGATCTCAAACTTGTCCACCCCTTGACGCAGCATCCAGTAGGTGTACTGCGACAGTTCAGGGTTGATGGACATGAGCCAGTTGTCCAGACCAGTGCCATCGCTGATGGAGTAGTCGGCTGTGATCTTCAGAGATTTGAGTTCCCTGGCAAATCTGAAATAAACAAACAAGGTGAACATTTCTATTCCTTGGCAAACCTGAAATAAACAAACAAGGTAAACATTTCCATCCCCTGGCCAACCTGAAATAAACAAACAAGGTAAACTTTTTCAATTCCAATTGACATTAATCTCACAGTAGAAGCTTGATGATAAATTTAATTCCGAATCTAGATTTAACAGTTAGGCTATTACAAATTTTGCTTAAATTATGTGACACCTATTTTTAGTAAACAGCATGGTCTAGCAGCAGAAGACTTGCTTAGTTAAAACACACAAATGTTGATATATTTATTGAATTTTTAAACACTAGTTTTTTCTCACTAATTTATAGTTTTAACTAATCAACATAAAATATACCAACCTTTTTCTAACAATGGAAGACTCCATTCCAAGACCTTGATGTAGATCATCATCAGTCAATATAAGCAGAATGTCCCCGTCTACTCGAGATTCACGAAATTTGCCAGCGTAGTCTTCAAAACCAATCTACAACAAATTGAGACAAATTAAAAAAACAAAAGCATAATTTTGGCTGACTGTCCCTTTATTAAGTAAATTATCCTTTCAAACCTAACAGTTGATGGACCAAGTGAAGTAGAATTCAACTGTTTTTGTGACATAAGCATTTAAGGAGATAGCCTTTACATTCCCTAACATGTGTGCTGTGTTTTTTCACCTGAGTAACCCAGTAGACAACATCATCCACTGTCCACAGTGGGACTTGCTGGGACAACTTGTGGGGGATTTTCTCTCCGATGATCTTCAAGGCTTCAGCTGCCAACTTAGAGGCTACTGTGTTGGGACTGCCTGCTATTTTCTTCAGTGGTTCAACTGCGTCTATCTCATGGAAGATCTGCATATAACAATCAGGTACATTTCACTCTGATAACTGTTAATACTTTTACAAGTTATATGTGCAATACAAATGACTTATGTAGTAATGGGCAATACTAACGATAGATGCTGTGTAGGCAATACGAATGATAACAGTTCAAAATTTTTTAGATTATTAAAAAAAATATACAAGGTAAAAGTGTTTCTATTTACACTCTTCAGCTTAAAGGCAAATGAAGTTGAGTTTGTCTGCCTCAGTGACCTAGGCATATTAAGAAATAACTTGACTTTACTTTCTCCAACATGTGTCAGGTACCGGTCAGAGCTGGGTGGAATTCACTAATAAGAATTGTTTAGTATTAAAAAAAATTACTATTTAAAAAAAACCAATTAAAAATAGAAAGATTACTCTAAAAATGGACATGTAATTAAATTAGCCTGGTCACCAAAAGATGCCAGGTACATATGAAAAAGAAAACTCAATGGCCAGATTGGTAACTAGATACATTCTTATCTACTAGACCCATCATGGAGAATGTGGGAAACATATCAGTGGTTTAAGATCAAATTATGTTAAAATAAAAAAAACAACAAATGGATTGTATTTTCTCTGGAATAAATGTTATTCCCTGACACATAACGAAACAAAACAAAAAGCAGTTGTTATTTTGCATGGACCAGTTAGTCAGGTAACAAAACAGTATCTCATGTTTTCAAAAAAAGCAATAAGGTTAGTCAAAAGGAGAAATACCCAAATATACCTTTGATATAAACAAAAAAATAATTTTTTTATGAATCCACTTCTTAATGCCATATATGTGGGGTATTAATATGCCATGCATAAAGACTAATGATACATATTACACTAAATAAACATGATTAGATTGTTTCATATGTAACACAATTGATAATCCACATTTTAGGACTCCAGAAAAAAACAAGGAAAATTTAAACACTCATTTGAATGCTATCTTACAAAAAATATAATAAAGCTCTGAATTCTTTAAAATATATTTGCAGTGCATATACAAATTGTCACTATTTAATTACCAGTTAAAATTATTCTTTTGATAATTATTTAAAAAAAAATTGTAACTTATACCAACTTAAAATAATGTTATTGGTATACTGACTCCAATATCTTAAGGGGTAAATAAAACCAAAAAATAGCATTAACATAAGTGAATACTATTTTAAAATAACTGAACATTAAAAGTTATTTGTAATCTGAATGATACAAAAATATTTATAAATCATAACAATCGTTAATTATTTTAACAAACTTATTTTAAAGACTGTCAATTATAGGAACAACCAAATTATTTTAATAAATTAATATGTTTTTGAACTTGACCCTCTAGAACCAGTGTTGTGATCTAACTATCAGAAATCAATTCTTTATTGGAACATAAAAGAAATTTACTAAAAAAAAATAATTTTATGACAAAAAATGTAAATTTAATTTAATGATACTTGAGAGAAAGTGAACATTTTGCTGCACTGTGTCAAAGACAATATGATGTTATACTTGATTTACACATGTGAACGTTGAACTGATTTACAGCTAAAAATCCCTTGTGGTGTCACATTTATCAGGGCTTCAACTATTTTGTCAGACATTTGTCACCTAAATTTCATCTCTTGACCAGGTATCACATTAGGGAAATATAAATTTCCTGAGCTATTTAGTCACTGTGATTCTAATGATACAATCAGGAATAGCTGACATGGATTACACAAAGTATACTTGACTGGCTCTCCTCAATTAGCCATATTTAATAGGTGGTACAGCGAGTTTTGTCAATAACAATACTTTGTACTCAATCTTACCCAATAGCCTAGTCTTATCCAATATCTAACCCTACCAAAAAAGTTATGGTATCATTATAAATGCTACATATATCAGAACTGGTAAATGATAATACTGACTTTAAAAAATATAAATAACTAATTTTGTCTACTACAAATGTTTACTCTCAAATGTTGTAATTATTGGTTTAAGTTGCATTTCATCAGTTACTAAATACTTTGGAGTTAAATCTTTGTAATACAAATCATCATTATAAGAAGTAGCCTAATGTTTTTATCAATGAGTTTTAAATTTGTGTATCCTTTTGAAAAGAATGAGTAGTAGCCTACTTTGAAAGCTGTAGCAAAATTTAAGAAAAAAAATAGTTCTCCATTTAATAGTCAAATTAGAAGGAAAGAATGTTTTTATATTCAAGATAATTAGTAAAATAACATCTGCCAAACATTTAATGTATATGCTTTTTTTCTGGAAGACTTTGAACTGAGTGTATTATATTTGTAATCAGAATGTCAACATGGGTTCTAGAGGGTTAAGTTACTAAAAATGAGTACAGGTTGAAACTCTATAAGCAATTTAAAAAAAATAACTTGGAAATAAACCAAACATGTCAACCAAAATCATGAATAGTATAAGGATGGAACTAACAGATACTTCACACTCAAAGTGTAGGAACTCTTCAGTGGGTTGCCTTTCTTTCTGCTATTAAAAAACACAACATTACCCTGCATCATTCCAAATAATGTGAAGAATTTTTTTGTTTACTAGCACAGAGTGTTATGAGAGAGAGAAGAGAAAAAATAAATAAAAGTTGATGCAGTTAATTTGATTCTAAATTAACATCATTTTACAGCAATCTTTGATGGGTTATACAATTAAAACAGCTGAAATTATAATTAAAGACAAACTGGCAGACTACACAATCAAAATTCTAAACATGTACGAGTTAAGTAATTCTGCAATAAGGTTAATTTTAGAGAGCTGATTAAAAAATACCACTTCAAGTATAAATGAAACAATAATTTACATTGATTAGTTTCCAAACCTAGTTACTATATACAGAGTCCTCAGGCAAAACGAGCTAAGTCAGTTAAAAAATTGAGTTGTCCCTAGAGCCTTTATAATTAAATGTCAATTATAGTATTACACAAACTTTTGTTCTATAAGATCTACTTTAAAATAAAAAATCCTAAAATTAGCCAACAAGAACATTTTTTTTAAAAGTCTATTTGCGCAAAATTGATCTGAAGTCTTCTTCTTTCTTCTTCTGCATTTTTAATTGAATTTATGTTGGAGGATTTAAACAACAAGTCTAACCATTTGGATCTGAAGTGACTTAGCAGATTTTGCAAATGAAGTCCTCAATATACACAATGTCAAACGTCAGACAAACAACGAGATAGATTTTAGTTCCTGTACCTCATGCCTACCCTGCTCTGCTTTGATGATGGCCTCCATGGCAAAATGGAACGCTGCCAGAGCCTGCGCCTCCTGCCTGCGAGAAAACAACAAGGGGATCAGCCGCTTGAGCCAGATCTTATCCCGACCCTGCTTGTGGGTCACGTCACTCTGTGCAAACTGGGAGGGTTTGTTGGAGTTGATAAATGGCAGAACCTAGAGGAAAATAATCAAAATAAATTTTATACCAGCTCATAATGGCAAATCCTGGGAGAAAAAAGGCATCAAAATAATAAGTTTATGACAATATACCAGCTCATTTTCATAAGTTAATAAATTAAATTAAAAATTTAAACTTACAACATTTTGAAAGATGTATTTCAAAATATTCTAAACAGATATAAAAAACATTTATTTAACTAGGTTAACTTACCAAATCAAGTGTACCAGATTTTATGACGGAAGCTTCCAATTCTTTGTTGGCCACCAGAGCAGAGATGGCCAAACAGGCATAGTAGCGTATACTGTTGTCATCACTAAAGGCCAGTGGGAACAGCCACTCTGGTACCTGGTAACAATACACACATCAGTAAACTCTTACAGCACATTGTGATGACGCAAGTTTTTAGGCAGCATTAACACACGGTCAAGGAGAGGAGATTGGTGTAGCATTTAATTAAATACCAGTCATTGGTCAAGTAGTTGAAGTAGGTAGGAACCAATAGAATAGCCAGACCAATGAAGAGTGAGATGGCCAGTCACAGTCACAAGTTTGTTGGACAGAGGTATTGTTATTAGGCAGTTGAGCAAGAGATCATTATAGTAATAGAAGATTACAGTTGAGAAGTAGAAAGTTCTAGTCGAAAAGTTAAATGGTAGCTGAAGTATAGAGTCAAGATATAGTTAAACAGATGATAGTAGAATTAGGATAAGTTACAATTCATTAGTGAATATAGCTAATAAACTTTAGTATTATTTAAATTTGGAACCTGTGTCAGCTGTTGTATTTTTATATTGGAGAAAGCACTAGGCTCATGAAAGAAGGTCTACAAATCCCCGTACAAGTTATATAAGTACAAATGAATGTATAACCTCTACCACCACACACATAATGATGTTGCTGTGAATTTTTAAACCTGAAAGCGCGCCAAGCCACGATCGTGGCTTTGCTGTTATATAACTTACAACGCGTACGGCCACGTGGCGCGCGCTTTCAGGGTTAATAGTTCAACACAGAGCATTGAGAGAAGTCAAACTCAGCCCACCCTCCCCCACACCCCCCTTACCTTATGTTTGGACATGATCTCCTGGTTCTCAGCCCCACCAAACAGTGACAGGTTGGCTAAAGCTTTTGCGCACCGCCTCAGTATAGAGTAATCAGTGCCGCACCTGCACCAGCGCAGGATCACATCCAGGCCACCAAGGTTGATGACTTTGGTACAAGTCTCCTCTGATAGCTTGAACATGTTCTCCAGGATACCTAGGGTGTAGTACTAAGATCTTAGCACAAGAACATTAAAAAACCAGAACATTAGAAAACCATAAAATGGCGAAAACAAAATTAAATGCTGTTCCTTTCTGTGAAGGTGGGGGGTGAATAGAAGAGGGTGGGGAAAATGCAATATCACCAAATGTGAGGGTGGGGGTGATGAAGATGATACCAGCCTGGTTATAGTTTGGAATCAACATACACAAGTCCGATCCAAGAGATAATATTCTTTATTTTCATAAATCAACTATTCTACCTAACTAATCTATACTGTACTACTACTACTTCTATCTAACTGTCCCTAGCTCTACATATCTCCGACTGTCTCTACCACACTATCTACTTCTAATTCTCTACCTAACTCTGACCGTTCTCTTGCGTCACCTATCTCTGTCTGCGCTGATCTAACTACTGACCCACGCTTCAGTGGTCAGCTGAAAATCCCACATAACGGGTCAGCTCCTATATTTTCATTGGTCTGTCTAACCAACTAGCTATAGTCTGATTCTACCATCAACCCTGAACTAGTGTCATCACACTTTCCCTCAAGATGTATTTCAGATAATGAAAATAAAACAAAAGATATCTTTATGGACTTGGTGGTCAATTGGGCAGGTGAAGTAGAGTTCACATTTTTCTGTGCCCTTGGCATTTAAAGAGATAATGAGGTCAGTTCTATGCCTAACTTTCCTTAAAGTGAGTCAGGTACACATTAAAGTTGTGAGGGACATCCTATCAACACAAGCCTGAGATCCAAACACGAAACTTTCAGGTGAGTAGTCATATTCTCTACTACCCAGCCACACTGCCCTATCTTTAGCGGAGACATTTTTTAACAGGCTGGCTGTAGAAGTCTCAACATATTTCTGTGGCCAACATGAGACAAACCTGTGGCGGCTTTGGCCATCTCAAGGTCACCAGCATATTCTCTGGTCATCTTCACCACAGCCTCAAGGCCATCTTTCGCTACACGCTCTCTGTTGCGCGTGGACATCACCTACATTACAAAACAAATATGGCCAGATTATTAGGTGAGATACAAGTTAAAAAGTGCAAACTTTTAGTTTTAACACAAGTCATTACTGTAAAAAAAATGCTTTTTTGACAGACGGTCCATGGGACAAGTGAGTTTGAGTTCACCTCTTTCTGTGACTTCAGTATTTGAAAGGATAGTGCGGTCAGCACTATGCCCAGCTGCCTTTACTTTCCCTAAAGTGAGTTAGATATCCACCAGAGGTTGGTGGATACAGGGACGTTCTACTTACTTGATCCTGGATTTCAAACTCAAGACTTTTGGGTTAGCAGTCTAGCGCTCTACTGATAGACCACACCATCTTATACAGTAAATTATACTTTAACTATTTTAAAAAAATGATACAGTAAAATTGGTTGAATAAAATTGTTTCATACTTGTTCTAAGAGATTAGCAGATGCTAGCAGGAGTTCCCTGTTCTGACTAGAGCAGTTGGCAATGAGCTGGTCCAGAAGGCCCTCCATCCTTATGATGTCACACAGGCTGTACGCCAGGTCCCTGCCATAGACTGGGGTGTCCCAGGCCTCTTTGGTCAGCTTTAAAATGTCCTGCAGAATTTTGATCTTCAGAACCAGGTCCGCACCTGTTTAAAGTAAAATCCGATCTTGCTCTCATAATCATGGTTAAAATTTAGTGACACAGAATTTTGTCAAAACATGTATCCAAAGGTTCTACATTAATAAAATAATAGTAGCCAATTTTGCTTTTAACTTTGTTATTGATATATATAACTATATAGACCTATATAAGTAATATAACTTATTTATATCTACATATGTATATATAAGCTGCTAGGTATATATATATATATATATATATATATATATATATATATATATATATATATATATATATATATATATATATATATATTTTGATGGAGACAAATGTCATACATTAATACAATAACTAATAATATGTCAGAACTATAAATATTTCAACTATAACAACAAGATGTTTGATGAACAATACTTACAGCTAAACGACATGCTACTACAATTCAAGAAAAAGCACACAATGAAAAATTAACATTTTCTACGCATTAGTTTTATTTATTCTGAGGTACAGCAGAGATGTAAGAGCAGGGTCACCATTTTATTTCACCAGGAGCAGAGAAAATTACGTTTTACCAAAGCCACTAAATCAAGATAAATTGAACAGTTTTTGATACATGATTTGACTCAAGTTCTGTCGAAAACCAAAACAAGTTTTCACTTTGACTGGTGTGTTTTAATGTTGACTTTAAAAAAGTTTTTATGGTAGAAAAATAATTAATCTAGTCCTGTTAGTTTTAAGTCAATTTTATTCTAAATGATTCAGCTCTTCTTGTATTCAAGTAAAGCAAATGAACATATTTTTGTTCATTATATTTAAATTAAAAAAAAGTTTGAAAATAATTCTTGACTGTACTGTATGATTAGTAAAGTTTTATTTATTTGTCTATATTGATATGTTAGGATGAGGTTAGGTAAAATGAAAAACCCATTACCCTTTGTTACCAAACCTTTTAAAAAAAAACAAAAAAAAAACTGCAAATGACCTCCCTTTGTTACCAAATCCTTATCAAAAACTACACATGAAACCACAAAAGAAGTTCTATTCAACACATGACATCTGGATGAAGCAACAGTGAAATGATGTCAACCCTGCTCTCACCTTCTACCTCAATGCCCTCAACTAGCATCCCCCTGAGGAGTGCCAGCTCACCTCTCATTTGGACAATGTGGTGCTCCAGCTTCTGGGACAGCGTCTGGTAGCTCAGCTTCAAATTGTGACGGTACTTGCTCAGGGAATAACCATGGGGAAATCTCAGCGGGTACTTTGTGTAGAAACAGCTGCATCCATCGCTACTGTCTAAGTCCTCAGTTATCAAACAGGGTGAACTGGTACCCTGGCAATCATCAAAGTCTCCTACAGCCGTCAGAATAGGTTGGTAGGAGCCTAATGGTAGTTCACCAGGGGCAGATTCGAATGTTTCATCTTTATCAACCGATGGATCGACATGTGGGGTTGAGTCAACATCATCAGACTCGACGGCCTGAGGTATTGTCTCCAGTCCTCTGGTTGTCATCATAAGTTTGGCTGAAGTATTTATAAGTTTCTTTTTACGTTTATTCTTCGATGTGGGAGTCACAACATCATCATCACTAGCTTCTCCAGAGGACACGTCAATATTTGATAAATCAAAATAAACCTTGGTTGTTTCTGAGACTTTAGGCTTGATATTTATTAACTTAAATGTACTGCCTATTTGATCTACTGAGCTAGTTCGGCCAGGTAGCTGTTTTGAGCTGTCTGAATTGAGAAGAAGAGCATCAGACTGCGACCTTTCAATAAGTCGGGAAGCATCAAAGCAAGGATTTTTCTTCAGAGTCCAGCGTGGTGAGTGCACAGCTTGAACTGTTTGCGACTCTTCACATTCATCATTTTCTAACACAACTAGCTCATCCATTTGATAGCCGCTATAACAAAAGATAGTAGAGAAATTATATATGCAACACAAAAGTGAATGTTATTGCAAAAATAACATCTGAAGTTATCAGACTAATTCCTTTATCCAACCCTCAATAAGGATACCAGAAACAAGTTGGATAAAAAAAACTATTCAGACTTAGATCATTCTCCATTAGCCATTTGAAATGAATAGGTAATTTACATCTGTTTATAGGCCCCTAAATATTAATAAGCACACACAAATATATAAAGAGATTGATTAGCTGTAAAAGTCTATTCAATCTACTATTGTGTATCAATTAGTCTAATTACATTAGGCTTATGTTTAGTTCTGTTATTAGTCAAATTTTAGTAATGCATAATACACATTTTGGTTTTTCAGAAGTCAAAGCCACATATAGTGTTTCACTATAATGCTAGGTTTCCTGGATACTTAAAAACTTTAACTGGTGTTGAAGTAACTAATCCTAGATAAGCTTACAGCATAGGTTAATATTATTAATTATACAGAAATAATGTAATTTTAAAAAAAAAATTGAGACTTTAAGTATTAGATTTAAATATTAGTTTTGTAACTACCCCTCCAATATAAATGATTATGATATAAATTAGGCCTAATTATTATAAATTATAGAACTTTAAGTTAGTGATAATTGAAGTAGCTGAACAGAAGTAAAGATACATGTCTTTATTTATAGATATAGAATATAGATAGGCTAGGTTTTTAAAAAATAAAAAACAAAATTAATATTTCAGTGTACTGTGTATGTGTTTAATTCCATCAATGTCTTTGTAGGCTCAATTTTTAATTAAAAAAATGTCTTGGCCTACATTAACTCACAATTATCCTAAGCTACAGCTATGGCATATGCGTACATATGCTGATAATTTATTAATTGCAGTCAAAGTGAACTCATGGTGAACCCTTAAGAATGTAGGGATTTTTCTCACGCCAACAATCAAACGCTATTTAATTGGAACTGTTAAAGGGCCTAATGATAATTAATAATATTTTTTACTTTTTCTAATTAAAACATTCATAAATAAACCGGGAGTGATCTCCCCTAAACTTTCTCGAATATTTTTATATAAAATAACAGGGGATGGGAACTCGGGCTATAGACATGATTTTTAATCCATTTTAAATACTTAAAGTTTTAAAAATAGAATAAAATCTCGTAGACAAAAGAATTGCACACCGAGTGAACACTAAATAAAAAAGTGCATAATAGTGCGCAATATTATTAGTATTTTAAAAATTTACATTCGTTTTTTGAGAAATCGGAAGTAGCGTAAATTACTACTTCCGATCAACGGAAATTACTCAAAATTTAACAGAAGGTAGAGAATTAGATCTTTTACTTACATGTGAAATTTCATTTATCTATCTGAAATAGTACTCAAGTTATAGGCTTTTGAAAAATTCAAAGTAGGAAAAGTACCACTTCCGGTTATTGGAAATCGCTCAAAAGTTGATACGGATCTACGATTTTGATAAAATACTTATATATGAAATTTCATCAACCTAGCTGTAACGGTACTCAAGTTATCGTGTTTACACACGGACACACACACGGACAGAATTGGATAATCCAGTTTTTCCAACTCCATTACGCATAAAACGACAAAATTTGTATATATCTGAGTTTATAATTTTTGCCCGATTAAAATAAGTCTTCTATATCCCGGATGTGATGAAGGACTGAGGAGTTAAACGGTGAAAACTGTCCAAATTTAATGTGATTTTTGTGCACGATTACAAGACTTTCTCTATACTTCGTATATTCGAGAAAGTAAAAATAAGTAGATCTATAGATTTAGGTCTATATATACTCTACAGGCCTATCTAATAATCTATCAATCAACTAATGATTCTAATCCTAACATTTTTGTGTGTTTTGGTTTTGTTTATAATAAAATATGCTCAACCGGAGGTGAACGTGAAGCGGCGCATAAAATACGCTAAAATCATCATGGAGTTTTGGTAATCTATCGTTTTGTTTTTAATTTTAAGTATTTTTAAGTGTAGTGTATGTAATAAATGACAATATGTATTATGTAGCCTAATAGTTTACAGTTTACATTCTAGACCTAATCAAGATTTGGAATCTAGATTTAGGTCTAGAATCTAGATTAGTTTCTAACATACAACAACATACAAATTTTAGACGAAGAATTCAACAACTTGCGTCATCCATATCTTTAAAGGTACAGCTTTTTAATAAATCCACCTATGGTTCCAGATCTACATTTAGGCCTGCTCTAAATTACTAAAACATTTGAACTTAATCGAAATAGCGAAGCGAACTTTATTTCAATTTATTTAAATTTACAATTTGTTCGAGCCTATAAATGTCGAATTAAATAAATTTAACATGATTTAGCCTATACTAGAAATCCAAACACAAACAAATATATATCTAGATCTATAATAGAAATGTATAAATCTACTTAAAATGTTAAAACGAAAATTTAATAATGACTCTCTAACAATCAAGTAATACAATGCACTGTCGGTATTTATACTTTCAAAAATGGCAGCCTCCATGTAGAATATTTGTTTATAGTTTATTTGTTATGACTCCACACTTTACTCAACAAAAAGTAGGTTCTTGTTAATAAAAAAAAATGTTTGACTATTATTAGCCTAAATTAAACAATCTTTTCCTCGTTTGGTTAAGTTGAGCAGATTTTCTGATTAGGGTTCATTAGGAGTAAGAACTTTGGATAAGAAACAGAACCAGTGACTGACTGTGAGTCAGTGAGTAACCCCCCCCCCCCCCCCCCTAACCCTTCCAGAGGTCGAAATTATAAAATAGTAAATATAGGTAGATCTAGTACTAAAACGATAGCTTAGGCCTACCTATTAGTATTAGTTAGGCCTGTAATAGATAGACCTAAGCTATCGTTTTAGGTACTTAAAAATAAAATCAGCCCAAAAGATTTAAAAGATAGTTAAAAAAGATTAAAAATTAAGGGGAAACCACTCTGAATCTAACTTACAGATGGCCGCTGTTTATTATTTATTATAGCAAATCTTGCTCTCAAACACTGCTGTTTATGAGTGTTTAAAGTTAATTTCTGGCCTATATTGATATATTTAGCCATTGATTTTGGTTTAGGCCTATTATTATTCAGTAATTTATAATATTTGATACAAATATATCACAATATAGGCCTACTAAATATACTTCTATTAAAGCCCTGACAATGAGGCAACTTTTTCGCACACTACTAGCCTCTGCCGATTTTACGTACCTAAAACGATAGATTACCATAAAATATTCCTATGCCTATAGTATAGGCCTAAATAATAAATATTAAACAGTTTGAAAATCCCCCCCCCCCCCTCCCCCACTTACACAGCTTACTTGATAACTTGCTGACTTATTATACTTTTATTAGGGTGTAGAGTGTAGAGGCCTACTTGTTTATATATTAACCTAAAACTACTCACTTAGTGACTTAGTTCACATAATAACCTAATTTAACTTTTTCTACAGGAAAGAGATAAACTGATAGGTCAGATCTAACAAGCGAAGTGAATTTTAGTCACATTTTCAATTTATTTTAGTGATAGATCATTCTAACCTTCTAATCTAATTGCAGCAAATTGCAAAATACTAAATACAAATTAGGCCTAATTACTAAAAACATGAGAATAAATCAGACTAGTTATCACTAGTTCAATGCCCCATTTACAGTACTTGTAGTCTGCCTTAATATTAGTAGGCCTAGGCCTAATTATCTTACTTTTTTTAAGAAGACTAGGCCTATAATGTTTACTTGAATAAATTAAATGATGAATTTACTCTTTAATCTATAAATGTGTATAAAAGTATCGACCATTTTTATTTTTTTCCAGATATGTACAAAATGAGTTGGTGTCAAAGTAGACATCTGTGGAACCTAGCATATACAAGTTTAAAATCTGATGTGTTCAGCAGCTGCCAGCATAAACAAGTTTGCAATCTTCTGTTACTCAGTGGGATAAAAAGACCAACACATTTATTCAAAGCTGATATTCATCTACATAAGGTGGTTTATAACAATAAGAGTCAGGCTGATTCTGAGTCATTGGGCGGCTGCAACCAAGATGTCAGTATTGATGAGGATTTGGGAATTGAGGAAGGAGAGCGATTAATTGGTAAAACACATGGTAAGACACCCTGCTATTTATTTCAATTATTTTTATATTAAATTATATTGCTTTTATTTTTTATGTTACCTTTTAAGGTTCTTTTTGTCCACTTAACAAACTTCTGACAGATAGTATAGTCAATGGCGATTATCTTGTAAAGAAAAGCCCAAATAACATTTTTAAAAGCAAATTAATTTAAATTGCCAGATTTACAGAAATACCTGATGGTTCTCAAACCAGACTCACCGCCAGGGTCAAAATTATTACGAGTGGCCATCATAGGTAAACCAAATTGTGGCAAATCAACATTGACAAATGCCTTACTGGGATGGAGGGTGAGTAAAACTTGAGAGTAGCTATGAATATTTTAGGCAAAACAATTTTTTAAAATTTTTACGTTATAACGAAGCATTTCTTAAGAGTTGTTTTTTATCTCCTAAAGGTGACGTCTGTCTCAGACAAAGTGCACACAACTCGCAAGAATACTCTAGCTGTCTTCACAGAGAATCAGACACAGATAGTTTATCTTGACACACCTGGAATTTTACGACCAGGGAGCAGGAAAAAGTAGAGTCGCAGTTTCATGTTGTAGTTATGTTATATGATACCACTAAAAAAAAAAATTGGTGTAATTTTTTTTGTTTTTGTTAACAGCAATTGAGAGGGTTGTTAACTGTATGTTTTTTTACTTCAACAGACACAATTTAGAAAAGTCTTTAGAAATTGATCCAGTTCGTAGTCTGGCAGCCGCAGATCTTGGTAAATTTTTAAAATTTTGATAAAATTTTTAACTAATTAGCTTAGCTGAAAATTATTTATCATGCTCACTCATTTTTATTCTACATTTGATAAGTACCTTATGGGACAGTGTAGTAAAATGTTATCGCATGCAATTGCTAATTAGAAATCTCATTATCTGGACTTACTGAAGTGCTCCTGGTACTTTAATTAGCTTTCATTTTTTGTCTCAAAATTTTTTTCTGAATTATTGCATGAATTAAATACCACTCAATGTCCCCCCCCCCCCCACCCCATTTATTTATATTTAGTTACTGTGATGGTGGATGTATCAAACCCTAGTATGGCACATGCACTGGATCAACAGCTTCTACAAATTCTTTATCTGTACCGGCATATCCCAGCTGTTCTAGTCCTCAACAAAGTTTGCTCAATCTTTATCTCATTAACTATTTAGAGAGTATTTATCAATGTTAAGTTTAAATAATTTCCAATACTTACTTAATAATAGATTTAAAAAAATACATTTGGTGTATGAGTCCTACTACAATCATAAATTGTATAAATGTTTGACATAAATGTTTGTGATCTCCAGTTGGATTTGATAAAAGACAGAAAAGAACTGCTGCAGATGGTTCGTCTTCTGACAGATGGTATAGTCAACGGAGATTACCTGGCAAAGGAAAGCCCAACAAAAAGCATTAAGAAACGAGATCTTTTTGATGCGGCTGATAAATCCTTAGGTAACTCTGGGAATAAAAATAAAGAAATTACAACAGAGTCTAGGGACTCTAAGAAAGCAGGTACTTTTTACTTTTCAACTATTCTTTTTATCATTAGAAACATTTTCTTGTAATAGGGCTTAAGCATACCTTTAAAAGTAATAAAGATATTTATGAGACAAAACTGGCTTGGTAAAATTTATCATATTTTTTTCTGAAACCACAATTACTTTATCCTCTGATAACTGATGCTAGGAAATTTTTTAAGTGTTGAGTTGACTATTATCTTTTGAAGCAAAATAATTGTTTTGTTGAATTCGATTCAGTTAATCCAATATGTATTAAATCCCAGGTTTGCCAACAAGTGTCATAATTTTTCAGTTCTCCCAGCTAACCTGTCTGTATCAGCGGGTGACATTGTCAAAGAGGATGACCTGGAGTGGACTGAATATTTTGACAAGCTGAAACGGGCCAACAGAGTAGTCAGGGACATGAAGGGCTGGCCCTTGTTTAAGGAAGTTTTTGTCTTATCTTCATTGAAAGGGGAGGGTATTCAAGAACTTAAGGTAAGTCACTCTTATCTTGATAACTTTAATCATTTAAAATTCTTTTTTAGCAGCCTACAGGTTTGAAGTGTTCAGAGAACAGATTTTCTGTTGAGCGGGTTTGCTATGCAAATACTTGCTGGAGTATCCCCTCATAGCCTTTCTTCTTCATTTTCTTCAGGCACATGGCCTCTTGACTCCTATTACGCCTGCTTTATTTCTGGATTTCATTTTTTTTCTGCTTTTTTAATCTTTTTTTAATAATGGATTTGCTTCCATAGCCTTTGTCCACCCAAGAACAAACTGCAAGGCAGCAGTTGTTTTATTTTTGTAGTTTTCTCTCTTAGAAGAGTTGCTGTCCCCAGCTATCAAGCCTCATTTGCTTGAGGATTTGAACTCACGACTTTTCGGTTTAGCAACCATGAGCTGTACCAATGTGACCATGCCAATCCCCCCTCCCCTTCAATGTTCCCTCAAAGGGTAAAAGCTAATGTGCAGCATGTATTTTGTGTGCGTGGTGTTCTAAAAGTCTTATACAACGATTATGAGTTTTAGAAAATTACTGTGCTGCAGTTCAAAACTACTGCGTTGACACACAAATGCACAGCTTAGAGGGAACATAGCGCCCTCCTTCCCTCAGCCAAAATAACTGTTTTTAGCACTTTCACCAAACTGACTCCATAGTAGGCATAAAGTAAACATAAATAAAAAAGTCGTGTGTGCAGTGAGACCAATTTATGTGATTTTTTTAACAGGACTACCTGATGGATTCAGCCACAGAGCGGCCCTGGGACTACCACAGCAGTCTGATCACAGACCAGGACCCTCACGAAGTTGTGCTCATGTGCATCCGGGAAAAACTCTTAAACAATCTGCGCAATGAAGTCCCTTACCAGCTTCGTTTAGTAAGTCATACCCATTGGTCAACAGCAAAACCTTCATTAGTTACCCATTCATAAATAAGTCGTACCCATTGGTTAACAGCCACACCTTCATTAGTTACCCATTCATAAATAAGTCATACCCATTGGTCAACAGCAAAACCTTCATTAGTTACCCATTCATAAATAAGTCGTACCCATTGGTCAACAGCCACACCTTCATTAGTTACCATTCATAAATAAGTCGTACCCATTGGTCAACAGCCACACCTTCATTAGTTACCCATTCATAAATAAGTCATACCCATTGGTCAACAGCCACAACATAAAAAACTCCATGAATAAATTATAAATACTTCCATCAGCTGCATGTTTTTTGTGTGCATTATTTTGACTACTAATGTATTATTTTTATTTGTAATCATATTTATAAATTATTAGCCCTATAAAATGAAGAGTTAAAATGTTTTGCCTACACAGGATGTTGTGTTGATGGCTGTAGATCCTGAGGACGGACTACTCAACATTGTTGTCAACGTTAACTGTGAGACTGAAAGACAGCTGGTAATGAGAATTTTCTATATACATTATTTTGTTTTGTCCTTATTCCAATATGTGTCATTGACTTCCCTTCCCATAGTTACTATGCTTTAGGAACTGTGTACAAGACACAACACAGACGATAGTTTGAAGGCTGATACATATAAAAAAAGGGATGGTTCTAGACCTACATTATTGTTACACCATCGCTATTATAATTTTGACACTTAAATCATTAAGAGAATTGACTGATCATGTTCAGATCTAGATCACAGAGCTTAGAATTCACAAATAATTACAGCTACATCTTTTTATTTAACTTTTTATATAAATGACCAATTTTTCTCTTTCAAATTCAGATCTTGGCATTCACAAAATAATACTACATGATTTATCTCTGACCTACCACAATTGTTTCAGACTATATTTTTGGGATCCAATGGACAAATGATACAAACCATATCAAGCCAGGCTAAGCAAGCCATTATGGACTCTTTCAGATGTGACGTCAGACTCAAGCTTGTGGGCATATTGAGGAGGAAGCAAAAAAACTAAAATTCTATTCACACTTATATTTGTGATACACCTACATTTTTTTTTGTACAAATTATTTTTAAGTGTAAACATTAAAATATTAGTCCAGTTAATTCTTTCATTTCTTTTTTTTTTAATTTCATTTTACATACAACTCAAATTGAAAATAAATACTAAAAATACATGCAAAATAATCAAACTGATTCCAGAAGGTGCTAGATTCATCTTGATCTGTTGAGTAACTCGCATACCATCACAATAATAGACCAGAAGAAAAACTTCTGGTTAATTCATTCTGTGCTAACTAAATACAGCAAATAAAAGATGACGTTACAATGAGGGTGGGGTGGGGGGCAGTAACAGTACACTTCTTTTAACAATCACTCTATGTTACAAATTGACCATCACCGCCATACATTAAAAAAAAAACTTTCCGTGTTGTTGAACATCAACAAATAGTGTTTACATAATAGCAAGAAAAAAGTAAACTTTCTGTGTATACTAGTAAACAACATAAACCTGGGTACAGCACTGTAAAAAAGCTCTCTATAGACGCAACCAAAGCAAGCTATACAAGACTTGTGATTTGACTGCAAGTATCAGACTAACTTGTGTATCATTTTATTTTTCCAAAGAATAAAATACCTGACATGTAAGAAATAGAATAATAACATGAGAAAAATTACTGGAATAGTCCCACGGTATCAAATATTCATAACTAACAAATTTAAAAAAAAATGGTTATCATTCAAAAACTGATGAGTCATGTAAATGTGGATATTAAATTTCACTGATTTAGTAGTCACTGTTAAACCTATGGAGTGGTGATGAGTACATTTTTTATATACAAATTACTTTTTATATAAAAAAAACTAACAAAATTCTATTGTAACATTATGTACAGTTAAATTCAGATGATGTTTTTTTAACCACAAATTCACACTTAAGTGAAACGCCAATGTGACAAGAATGGATGTAACAAAAAAAAATATGAATATTTGATCTCATTCAGACAACAGTAACTGGACATTATTGACAGAACTGCCTGCAATCAGCATGTTTAAACTGGGTTTGTGCTTGCAGATTTGTTTTGAAATGTTCTTATATAACCTGCTAAACAGTACATTACCACTTTATGGAAAGTACTGTAATCCTTTTTCAACTTGAAAAAAATAAGAATAAGTAGCAGTGAGTTGAGGCTTTTTAAAATTATTTTTCAAAATTGTGATTAATAATAAATAATTATCCTTGGAAAAAGATTTAAGTTTGAAAAAAAAAAGGTTTTAAAATGAATTAAAGTTTTTTGTTTAGTTAATTAACAAACTTTGTTTTCTAAAGTTACATTTTCACCATAAATTGCAGTGTTACAAGTGTAAATTCTAACAACAAAAGTCAAAAAAATTACATCAACATTTGAAAAATTGTAAATTTTACAACTTCTTTTGTACTGTAAAACAATGGCCTTTTTTTATACCTTAACATGTATGTGTTAGAAAATAAATTGTTTCAGGTGTGCCTTCATTCACAACACAGATACTACAGTTTGTTGATGACTGCTTGTAGCTGACAAATGATTTATCATGTCATGTAACAGTCTGTCAGTTGTTATAGCTGACTGATGTTTATAACTGACAGATAACTATCCTAGCCAGAAACAAACTGCCTGTAGTATTAGCTGACAGATGGTTATAACTGAAATATTTTATCCTGACATTGACTAACTGCCCGTGATAATTATAACTGACAGATGATTATCCTAGCCAGAAACAAACTGTGATATTAGCTGACAGATGTTTTGAACAGATATTTTATCCTGACATTGACAAACTGCCTGTGGTTATAACTGACAGGTGGTTATAACAACTGACAGGTGGTTATAACTGACAGATATTTTATCCTGACATTGACGAACTGCCTGTGGTAATAGCCAACAAATGGTTATAACCGAGAAACGTTCTACTCTGACCAGTGACAAACAGAATGTAACGCACTGTCACAAACTGAGGTGGTTAAAATGCCTTTTTCAATAACAATCATTAAATTGTAGCTAGTACTGAATTGCAACATCATTGAATAGTAACAATAATTTAAGTGAACTAGGATAATTATTGAATTTGTAAGTCATTGAATTGTAACAATCATCGAGTTGTAACAATCACTGAATGTAACAATCCCTAAACTTGGCACAAATTAAAAAAAAAAAAACCAACCCCCATCACAAACTAAAAATGGAAGCTCCATCATATTATGGACACCTTACAAATACCGAGTATAACTGGTGTTACATGGTCACATACACACATACATTCAAGCGTACCCAGCTTAACTACGATGTCCAAACAAAAGATGAACTGATGATTCATCTTTCACCACTGTACCCAAGATGGAAATGTTTTATGCACATGAATGCTGTAAACCCCTTATTTTTAAGAACCAAAAGGAGTTTTCCCTAAATGAAATGCATACCTGTTTGTTTAGGACTCCTACAGCAAACAATCAAGAAACAATTTTTACAACAACAGTGGCTCATCCATGTTTAATTTCCAGTTAGAAATAATGTACACCACAATAATCCACACAACAGGTCTGTATTACTGAGTGACACACAGCCCAGTGTAGTTTGTTTCTTCATGAATGAGTAAACACTCAGTCAAAGGGAGATAGCATAGCTAGCTAACCGTGATCCTTAATATCAGTCTATCACCACAAGGAGAAAGTAACTCTGAATAGTTTGACAAGAGTGATGTCCCCTTGAGGTTACACCTCCATGTGTTTGGGTACTGGTACAGCCAGGAATGGCTCATGCCACATCCGTCTGAGATCTCCCTGGGGAAGAGGAGAGAAAAATAGTTTTAAAAAAAAAAAACCTTTGCAAGAAGTTCTAGAAAAGAGGGGGGGAAAACTTTGCTAAGAGTTCTAGAAGAGGAGGAAGAGGAAAGAAAAAGAGTAAAAAAAAACCGATCTTATCCAGCTAGCTAGACTAAACATATCACACTTCCAGGTCCACACTGGACAAATTACAAAAGAGCATTTTATTTTAATTTCTATATTTTTTTTCTTAGTAAATTTTGGGTTCATCATTGATGAAAAAGAAAGAAAAATGGGTTTAAATTTTAAAATAATGTATAGGATCAATCAATTATGTTATTAAATGAGTACATTCATACTAACTTAAATCAAAATGTTTTATAAATCTTCAAGGTGAAATACTTTTTAAGGCTACGTTCATACATGGTTTAGAAATGACAACTTCAAATTTAAAAATACCTAGTACCTTAAGGTATGCCTTAACAGGGGAGGAAATGTAAAAAACCTAGTACCTAAAGGTATGCCATTGTCAACAGGGGAAGTAATGTAAAAAACCTAGTACCTTAAGGTATGCCTTAACAGGGGAGGTAATGTAAAAAACCTAGTACCTTAAGGTATGCCTTAACAGGGGAAGTAATGTAAAAAACCTAGTACCTTAAGGTATGCCTTAACAAGGGAGGTAATGTAAAAACCTAGTACCTTAAGGTATGCCTTAACAGGGGAGGTAATGTAAAAAACCTAGTACTTTAAGGTATGCCTTAACAGGGGAGGTAATGTAAAAAACCTAGTACCTTAAGGTATGCCTTAACAGGGGAGGTAATGTAAAAAACCTAGTACCTTAAGGTATGCCATTGTCAACAGGGGAAGTAATGTAAAAAACCTAGTACCTTAAGGTATGCCTTAACAGGGGAGGTAATGTAAAAAACCTAGTACCTTAAGGTATGCCATTGTCAACAGGGGAAGTAATGTAAAAAACCTAGTACCTTAAGGTATGCCTTAACAGGGGAGGTAATGTAAAAAAACCTAGTACCTTAAGGTATGCCATGGTCAACAGGGGAAGTAATGTAAAAAACCTAGTACCTTAAGGTATGCCTTAACAGGGGAAGTAATGTAAAAAACCTAGTACCTTAAGGTATGCCATGGTCAACAGGGGAGGTAATGTAAAAAGCCTAGTACCTTAAGGTATGCCTTAACAGGGGAGGTAATGTAAAAAAACCTAGTACCTTAAGGTATGCCTTAACAGGGGAGGTAATGTAAAAAAACCTAGTACCTTAAGGTATGCCATGGTCAACAGGGGAAGTAATGTAAAAAACCTAGTACCTTAAGGTATGCCTTAACAGGGGAGGTAATGTAAAAAACCTAGTACCTTAAGGTATGCCATTGTCAACAGGGGAAGTAATGTAAAAAACCTAGTACCTTAAGGTATGGCATTGTCAACAGGGGAGGTAATGTAAAAATCCTAGTACCTTAAGGTATGCCTTAACAGGGGAGGTAATGTAAAAAACCTAGTACCTTAAGGTATGCCTTAACAGGGGAAGTAATGTAAAAAACCTAGTACCTTAAGGTATGCCTTAACAAGGGAGGTAATGTAAAAACCTAGTACCTTAAGGTATGCCTTAACAGGGGAGGTAATGTAAAAAACCTAGTACTTTAAGGTATGCCTTAACAGGGGAGGTAATGTAAAAAACCTAGTACCTTAAGGTATGCCTTAACAGGGGAGGTAATGTAAAAAACCTAGTACCTTAAGGTATGCCATTGTCAACAGGGGAAGTAATGTAAAAAACCTAGTACCTTAAGGTATGCCTTAACAGGGGAGGTAATGTAAAAAAACCTAGTACCTTAAGGTATGCCATGGTCAACAGGGGAAGTAATGTAAAAAACCTAGTACCTTAAGGTATGCCTTAACAGGGGAAGTAATGTAAAAAACCTAGTACCTTAAGGTATGCCATGGTCAACAGGGGAGGTAATGTAAAAAGCCTAGTACCTTAAGGTATGCCTTAACAGGGGAGGTAATGTAAAAAAACCTAGTACCTTAAGGTATGCCTTAACAGGGGAGGTAATGTAAAAAAACCTAGTACCTTAAGGTATGCCATGGTCAACAGGGGAAGTAATGTAAAAAACCTAGTACCTTAAGGTATGCCTTAACAGGGGAGGTAATGTAAAAAACCTAGTACATTAAGGTATGCCTTAACAGGGGAAGTAATGTAAAAAACCTAGTACCTTAAGGTATGCCTTAACAAGGGAGGTAATGTAAAAACCTAGTACCTTAAGGTATGCCTTAACAGGGGAGGTAATGTAAAAAACCTAGTACTTTAAGGTATGCCTTAACAGGGGAGGTAATGTAAAAAACCTAGTACCTTAAGGTATGCCTTAACAGGGGAGGTAATGTAAAAAACCTAGTACCTTAAGGTATGCCATTGTCAACAGGGGAAGTAATGTAAAAAACCTAGTACCTTAAGGTATGCCTTAACAGGGGAGGTAATGTAAAAAAACCTAGTACCTTAAGGTATGCCATGGTCAACAGGGGAAGTAATGTAAAAAACCTAGTACCTTAAGGTATGCCTTAACAGGGGAAGTAATGTAAAAAACCTAGTACCTTAAGGTATGCCATGGTCAACAGGGGAGGTAATGTAAAAAGCCTAGTACCTTAAGGTATGCCTTAACAGGGGAGGTAATGTAAAAAAACCTAGTACCTTAAGGTATGCCTTAACAGGGGAGGTAATGTAAAAAACCTAGTACCTTAAGGTATGCCATGGTCAACAGGGGAAGTAATGTAAAAAACCTAGTACCTTAAGGTATGCCTTAACAGGGGAGGTAATGTAAAAAACCTAGTACCTTAAGGTATGCCATTGTCAACAGGGGAAGTAATGTAAAAAACCTAGTACCTTAAGGTATGGCATTGTCAACAGGGGAGGTAATGTAAAAATCCTAGTACCTTAAGGTATGCCTTAACAGGGGAGGTAATGTAAAAAACCTAGTACCTTAAGGTATGCCTTAACAGGGGAAGTAATGTAAAAAACCTAGTACCTTAAGGTATGCCTTAACAAGGGAGGTAATGTAAAAACCTAGTACCTTAAGGTATGCCTTAACAGGGGAGGTAATGTAAAAAACCTAGTACTTTAAGGTATGCCTTAACAGGGGAGGTAATGTAAAAAACCTAGTACCTTAAGGTATGCCTTAACAGGGGAGGTAATGTAAAAAACCTAGTACCTTAAGGTATGCCATTGTCAACAGGGGAAGTAATGTAAAAAACCTAGTACCTTAAGGTATGCCTTAACAGGGGAGGTAATGTAAAAAAACCTAGTACCTTAAGGTATGCCATGGTCAACAGGGGAAGTAATGTAAAAAACCTAGTACCTTAAGGTATGCCTTAACAGGGGAAGTAATGTAAAAAACCTAGTACCTTAAGGTATGCCTTAACAAGGGAGGTAATGTAAAAACCTAGTACCTTAAGGTATGCCTTAACAGGGGAGGTAATGTAAAAAACCTAGTACTTTAAGGTATGCCTTAACAGGGGAGGTAATGTAAAAAACCTAGTACCTTAAGGTATGCCTTAACAGGGGAGGTAATGTAAAAAACCTAGTACCTTAAGGTATGCCATTGTCAACAGGGGAAGTAATGTAAAAAACCTAGTACCTTAAGGTATGCCTTAACAGGGGAGGTAATGTAAAAAAACCTAGTACCTTAAGGTATGCCATGGTCAACAGGGGAAGTAATGTAAAAAACCTAGTACCTTAAGGTATGCCTTAACAGGGGAAGTAATGTAAAAAACCTAGTACCTTAAGGTATGCCATGGTCAACAGGGGAGGTAATGTAAAAAGCCTAGTACCTTAAGGTATGCCTTAACAGGGGAGGTAATGTAAAAAAACCTAGTACCTTAAGGTATGCCTTAACAGGGGAGGTAATGTAAAAAAACCTAGTACCTTAAGGTATGCCATGGTCAACAGGGGAAGTAATGTAAAAAACCTAGTACCTTAAGGTATGCCTTAACAGGGGAGGTAATGTAAAAAACCTAGTACCTTAAGGTATGCCATTGTCAACAGGGGAAGTAATGTAAAAAACCTAGTACCTTAAGGTATGGCATTGTCAACAGGGGAGGTAATGTAAAAATCCTAGTACCTTAAGGTATGCCTTAACAGGGGAGGTAATGTAAAAAACCTAGTACCTTAAGGTATGCCTTAACAGGGGAAGTAATGTAAAAAACCTAGTACCTTAAGGTATGCCTTAACAAGGGAGGTAATGTAAAAACCTAGTACCTTAAGGTATGCCTTAACAGGGGAGGTAATGTAAAAAACCTAGTACTTTAAGGTATGCCTTAACAGGGGAGGTAATGTAAAAAACCTAGTACCTTAAGGTATGCCTTAACAGGGGAGGTAATGTAAAAAACCTAGTACCTTAAGGTATGCCATTGTCAACAGGGGAAGTAATGTAAAAAACCTAGTACCTTAAGGTATGCCTTAACAGGGGAGGTAATGTAAAAAAACCTAGTACCTTAAGGTATGCCATGGTCAACAGGGGAAGTAATGTAAAAAACCTAGTACCTTAAGGTATGCCTTAACAGGGGAAGTAATGTAAAAAACCTAGTACCTTAAGGTATGCCATGGTCAACAGGGGAGGTAATGTAAAAAGCCTAGTACCTTAAGGTATGCCTTAACAGGGGAGGTAATGTAAAAAACCTAGTACCTTAAGGTATGCCTTAACAGGGGAGGTAATGTAAAAAAACCTAGTACCTTAAGGTATGCCATGGTCAACAGGGGAAGTAATGTAAAAAACCTAGTACCTTAAGGTATGCCTTAACAGGGGAGGTAATGTAAAAAACCTAGTACCTTAAGGTATGCCTTAACAGGGGAAGTAATGTAAAAAACCTAGTACCTTAAGGTATGCCTTAACAAGGGAGGTAATGTAAAAACCTAGTACCTTAAGGTATGCCTTAACAGGGGAGGTAATGTAAAAAACCTAGTACTTTAAGGTATGCCTTAACAGGGGAGGTAATGTAAAAAACCTAGTACCTTAAGGTATGCCTTAACAGGGGAGGTAATGTAAAAAACCTAGTACCTTAAGGTATGCCATTGTCAACAGGGGAAGTAATGTAAAAAACCTAGTACCTTAAGGTATGCCTTAACAGGGGAGGTAATGTAAAAAAACCTAGTACCTTAAGGTATGCCATGGTCAACAGGGGAAGTAATGTAAAAAACCTAGTACCTTAAGGTATGCCTTAACAGGGGAAGTAATGTAAAAAACCTAGTACCTTAAGGTATGCCATGGTCAACAGGGGAGGTAATGTAAAAAGCCTAGTACCTTAAGGTATGCCTTAACAGGGGAGGTAATGTAAAAAAACCTAGTACCTTAAGGTATGCCTTAACAGGGGAGGTAATGTAAAAAACCTAGTACCTTAAGGTATGCCATGGTCAACAGGGGAAGTAATGTAAAAAACCTAGTACCTTAAGGTATGCCTTAACAGGGGAGGTAATGTAAAAAACCTAGTACCTTAAGGTATGCCATTGTCAACAGGGGAAGTAATGTAAAAAACCTAGTACCTTAAGGTATGGCATTGTCAACAGGGGAGGTAATGTAAAAATCCTAGTACCTTAAGGTATGCCTTAACAGGGGAGGTAATGTAAAAAACCTAGTACCTTAAGGTATGCCTTAACAGGGGAAGTAATGTAAAAAACCTAGTACCTTAAGGTATGCCTTAACAAGGGAGGTAATGTAAAAACCTAGTACCTTAAGGTATGCCTTAACAGGGGAGGTAATGTAAAAAACCTAGTACTTTAAGGTATGCCTTAACAGGGGAGGTAATGTAAAAAACCTAGTACCTTAAGGTATGCCTTAACAGGGGAGGTAATGTAAAAAACCTAGTACCTTAAGGTATGCCATTGTCAACAGGGGAAGTAATGTAAAAAACCTAGTACCTTAAGGTATGCCTTAACAGGGGAGGTAATGTAAAAAAACCTAGTACCTTAAGGTATGCCATGGTCAACAGGGGAAGTAATGTAAAAAACCTAGTACCTTAAGGTATGCCTTAACAGGGGAAGTAATGTAAAAAACCTAGTACCTTAAGGTATGCCATGGTCAACAGGGGAGGTAATGTAAAAAGCCTAGTACCTTAAGGTATGCCTTAACAGGGGAGGTAATGTAAAAAAACCTAGTACCTTAAGGTATGCCTTAACAGGGGAGGTAATGTAAAAAAACCTAGTACCTTAAGGTATGCCATGGTCAACAGGGGAAGTAATGTAAAAAACCTAGTACCTTAAGGTATGCCATTGTCAACAGGGGAAGTAATGTAAAAAACCTAGTACCTTAAGGTATGCCATTGTCAACAGGGGAAGTAATGTAAAAAACCTAGTACCTTAAGGTATGGCATTGTCAACAGGGGAGGTAATGTAAAAATCCTAGTACCTTTTGGTATGCCATTGTCAATAGGGGAAGTAATGTAAAAAATCTAGTACCTTAAGGTATGCCATTGTCAACAGGGGAAGTAATGTAAAAAACCTAGTACCTTAAGGTATGCCATTGTCACCAGGGGGAGTAATGAGTAATGTAAAAAAACCTAGTACCTTAAGGTATGCCATTGTCAACAGGGGAAGTAATGTGAACGGGACGAGGTAGAGTAGAGCAGGCTGAGCAGCTTTGAATACTTCAGACGAGACTGTAGCTGTGAGCAAACCTAAATATAGAAAATAAATGGTCAGAGTGGGGCAAAACATGGTCAGTATGGTCCAAAACATGGTCAGTGTGGTCCAAAACATGGTCAGTGTGTGGGCAAAACATGGTCAGTGTGGTCCAAAACATGGTCAGTGTGGGGCAAAACATGGTCAGTGTGTGGGCCAAAACATGGTCTGTGTGGGGCTAAACATGGTTAGTGTGGAGCTAAACATGGTCTGTGTGGTCCAAAACATGGTCAGTGTGTGGGCAAAACATGGTCAGTGTGGTCCAAAACATGGTCAGTGTGGGGCAAAACATGGTCAGTGTGTGGGCCAAAACATGGTCTGTGTGGGGCTAAACATGGTTAGTGTGGGGCTAAACATGGTTAGTGTGGTCCAAAATATGGTCTGTGTGGGGCTAAACATGGTTAGTGTGGGGCTAAACATGGTCTGTGTGGGGCTAAACATGGTCAGTGTGGAGCTAAACATGGTCTGTGTGGGGCAAAACATGGTTAGTGTGGTCCAAAATATGGTCTGTGTGGGGCTAAACATGGTTAGTGTGGGGCAAAACATGGTTAGTGTGGGGCAAAACATCGTCAGTGTGTGGGGCAAAACATGGTCAGTGTGGTCCAAAACATGGTCAGTGTGGGGCTAAACATGGTTAGTGTGGGGCAAAACATGGTCAGTGTGGAGCTAAACATGGTCAGTATGGTCCAAAATATGGTCAGTGTGGTCCAAAACATGGTCCGTGTGTGGGCAAAACATGGTCAGTGTGGGGCAAAACCATGGTCACTTCGGCTAAAAGCTTAAAATAGTGACTTTGGCCCAAAATGTGATCTATGTGGATTCAGGCCAGTCAACAACATGAGGTGACCGACCTATTTGATAAGTCCAAACCTTCCAGTTATATAACAACCCCCCCCCCCCCCCCCCAGATGATATCTGAACAGATGGTCTCCTCATCAATGCTATGGTTTGTTACATATAAACTGCTAAAAATAGCTTCTCTTAAACCAGTTTCCCAAGCTCAAGGACCTACTAAATAAATTTGAACAGATTTTAATTTACTACCTGACACAATGATGTTTAACTTATATCCCAAACCATTTTACACATTCCAGTCCCAAATATCTTAGGCTCACTTAGTAAACAATTGGTGTGAATAAAGGGGACAAAACTGTGCAAGGGACACAAACCTACCTAAAAAATATCCTATGAGGGAACAGTGAAAATATGATAGTCTCTGGACGTAGTTGGGCGGGGGTGGCACGCCTGTCTCTGCCGAACAGGTCTGTGACTTCTTGTAAGTATCATAGCGCAGTACAAAACATAGCAACAATCCAGGCATCACCTAGTGGATGAGTATGTAAGGAATATTTATAAATATATTTTATTACTTTTTAAAAAGTACTTTTTACAAGTATATTTATTTTGTTTTAAAATATATTTTACAAGTGTATTATGAATTGAATAAAAAAAAATTGAAAATATTTTTTTCTATTGCTGTTAAAAATATTAACAGCTGATCACTAACTGCCAATAAATTAATCATGAATATTAGGAAATTTAAGTACAGCCACTTACAATATCACCTAACCCAAGCATGTTGAAATGACTGGAATTTTGAGAACTGAAAACAAAATATCTTGTTTGTTACATTTAATGTAGACAAATATAGCATTAAATATAACAAAAATAAAATATTAAATAAATAGCTGTAAAGATGGAGAAATGAAACAGGAATTCAGTTACCACAATAGACTGACCTTGGAAAAACTAATTTGGCAGGGAGAGAAAGTTTTGGTGCGTCTCTTACAAGACCAGTAAGGTGAAGCTTCTTGGCAAACAAACCAACCTAGGAACAATCAAACAGATTTAACATCCACTGGGAAAAATATCTGGACAACTTCTGTCTAAAAAGTGTAGTCTAGTCTTAGGTAGTTTGTGTCAGTAATGGTAAATAATAGAAAAAAGTAGTCGATGAAGAGTCATATATATGTAGACAATGGTGAGAAGATGTATATAGATAAAGGAAAGGCATGTATATAGACAAAGGAAAGACAGATGAAGGTAGACAAAGGTGAGAAAGATGTAAAGGAAAGACATGTATATAGGCAAAAGAAAGACAGATTAATGTAGACAAAGGTGAGAGAGCAGTAAGACAAGTGTCTATGGAGAAAGATGTGAAGGCACCAACTCACTGGGTTATCAGCTGGCCGTGTTGCCACTTTGACCATCACATTGGTACTGAAGATGTAGGAGGAGAAAAACACCTGGCAACAACAAAAAAAATTTCATCATTCTCTGTGCACAGTTGGAGTTTCATAAAACAGTAACTTAAAATGTTCATTTCACAAAGAGTGAGAATGATCTGTCAATACATTTTTAAACTCATAAGATGGGCTTGTTTGTACCTAACACTGGTACAGTGCAATAAAGCTACTGCCAGTAGGACAGCGTAATAAAGCTACTGTAGGACAGCGCAACAAAGCTACTGCCAGTAGGACGGCGCAACAGAGCTACTGCCAGTAGGACAGTGCAACAAAGCTATTGTCAGTAGGACAGTGCAACAAAGCTACTGCCAGTAGGACAGCGCAACAAAGCTACTGCCAGTAGGACAGCACAACAAAGCTACTGCCAGTAGGACAGCACAACAAAACTGCCTGTAGGACAGTGCAACAAAGCTACTGCCAGTAGTACAGCACAACAAAGCTACTGCCAGTAGGACAGCGCAACAAAGCTACGGCCAAAAGGACAGCACAACAAAGCTACTGCCAGTAGGACAGCGCAACAAAACTGCCTGTAGGACAGTGCAACAAAGCTACTGCCAGTAGGACAGCACAACAAAGCTACGGCCAAAAGGACAGCACAACAAAGCTACTGCAGGTAGGACAGTGCAACAAAGCTACTGCCAGTAAGACAGCGTAAACAAAGCTACTGCCAGTAGGAAAGCGTAAACAAAGCTACTGCCAGTAGGACAGCGTAAACAAAGCTACTGCCAGTAGGACAGCACAACAAAGCTACTGCCAGAAGGACAGCACAACAAAGCTACTGACAGAAGGACAGCACAACAAAGCTACTGCCAGTAGGACAGCGTAAACAAAGCTACTGCCAGTAGGACAGCGTAAACAAAGCTACTGCCAGTAGGACAGCACAACAAAGCTACTGCCAGAAGGACAGCACAACAAAGCTACTGACAGAAGGACAGCACAACAAAGCTACTGCCAGTAGGAGAGCACAACAAAGCTACTGACAGAAGGACAGCACAACAAAGCTACTGACAGAAGGACAGCACAACAAAGCTACTGCCAGTAGGACAGCACAACAAAGCTACTGCCAGTAGGACAGCACAACAAAGCTACTGCCAGAAGGACAGCACAACAAAGCTACTGACAGAAGGACAGCACAACAAAGCTACTGCCAGTAGGACAGCGTAAACAAAGCTACTGCCAGTAGGACAGCGTAAACAAAGCTACTGCCAGTAGGACAGCACAACAAAGCTACTGCCAGAAGGACAGCACAACAAAGCTACTGACAGAAGGACAGCACAACAAAGCTACTGCCAGTAGGACAGCACAACAAAGCTACTGACAGAAGGACAGCACAACAAAGCTACTGACAGAAGGACAGCACAACAAAGCTACTGCCAGTAGGACAGCACAACAAAGCTACTGCCAGTAGGACAGCACAACAAAGCTACTGCCAGTAGGACAGCACAACAAAGCTACTGCCAGTAGGACAGATTCTACTCACCCAAAAGACATCATACACTAGCAGGCCCAGGAGAAGAAGAGTGGAGACCTTCAGGCTGGGAAGTCGAACCAGAGCAATAAATGCTACACAGAGGCCCATGCCCAGAGCTGAGGAAGAAAATAGAGATGTGGTAATTACATAAGGTAGAGACCAATGTCTGAGGCTAAAGAAAAAAAATGGCAAGTAGTAATAAATGCTACACAGAGACCTTAGCTTCCACCAAATTTAAAAATGGCAAGTAGTAATAAATGCTTTACAGAGATACACAGAGACCCATGCTTCAGACTAATTAAGCAATTATATATAACACTAAATGCTATACAGAGACTCAATGCTTATAATGTCACCCGAAGTAGTCATGGAATTTGTAATTGAATGATAAACCACCACTAAAGTTGATGTTTAGCTTAGTTAACTTTTACTCCTACCATCCATGAGTAGCCAGTGTCCAGTTAGAATCCATATACAGACAATGGTGAAGGACAAACAAAATGAGATGATTTCTGCTGCTGTGAATCTGCCACACACACCAAAAGAGATTCTGTGGGGAAAAGTTAAAGACCATGTGTTAAACTGCACAAAAAGATATCTTGACAAATATATTTTTTTATTAAATTAACACATATAAGAAATATTCTGGGGGAAAAGTTAAAGATATATGTACAACTGACTGCACAAAAAGATATCTTAACAAATATATTTGGAATTAAACTAACACACAAAAGAGATTCTGGGGGAAAAGTTAAAGATATATGTACAACTGCACAAAAAGATATCTTAACAAAAATATTTTTCATTAAACTAACACACATAAGAAATATTCTGGGGGAAAAGTTAAAGATATATGTACAACTGCACAAAAAGATATCTTAACAAATGTATTTTTAATTAAACTAACACACATAAGAAATATTCTGGGGGAAAAGTTAAAGATATATGTAGCACTGACTGCACAAAAAGATATCTTAACAAATATATTTTTAATTAAACTAACACACATAAGAAATATTCTGGGGGAAAAGTTAAAGACCATGTGTTAAACTGCACAAAAAGATATCTTGAACTAGTATATTTCTAATTAAACTAACACATAAATATTCGGGGTGAAAAGTTAAAGATAAATGTACAACTGACTGCACAAAAAGATATCTTGAATTAGTATATTTCTAATTAAACTAACACACATAAATATTCTGGTGGAAAAATTGTTTTTAATTCCAATTTTAATCACACATGAAAAAAAAAATAATCTTACAGTAAAAGAGACTATAAGTTGGATACATATTCAATGTCTTAATAAGGTTAATGAGGCAAAGCATCTCTATTCAACTTTAGCCATGTAACCATCATATATGGGTGGTCTAGTTAATGCCAGCTAATCTTATATGTAATCAGGATGGGTGCTACAAGTAATCAGGTTGGGTGCTACAAGTAATCAGGTTGGGTGCTACAAGTAATCAGGTTGGGTGCTACAAGTAATCAGGTTGGGTGCTACAAGTAATCAGGTTGGGTGCTACAAGTAATCAGGTTGGGTGCTACAAGTAATCAGGTTGGGTGCTACAAGTAATCAGGTTGGGTGCTACACGTAATCAGGTTGGGTGCTACAAGTAATCAGGTTGGGTGCTACAAGTAATCAGGTTGGGTGCTACAAGTAATCAGGTTGGGTGCTACAAGTAATCAGGTTGGGTGCTACAAGTGATCAGGTTGGGTGCTACATGTAATCAGGATGGGTGCTAAAAGTTATCAGGTTGGGTGCTACTTACTTCTGTCCACTGGAACACGGCTGGACAAAGTACTGGCACATGGGCAGGAGCAGAAAGGCAAAAGCTACAGTAGCCAGAACTGAAATACACAAGTGGACATTTAGTGGACATGCTTCAATACTGGGTAGTGGACATATTTCAATACTTGGTAATTCGACATTTAGTGGACATGCTTCAACACAGGGCAATGAACATTTTGTTCACATTTTCAACACTAAATATTGGGCATATATCAAAACTGGGTAATAGACATTTGACTTGTCCATAGTGGACATACATCAACACTGAGTTGTGGACATTTAGTGGACATACAGTAAAATGTTGGACAATTGATAACACAGACACATTTTTAGCAAACAGTCTGGTGACATAGTCAAATACTAACTAGACCATACTTGTAACTTACCTATACTAAACACACAATGTTAACGCACAATGTTGACACAGAAATAACAAACTACTTATATTTCTTCAAACCTTCTACAACTACAAACATTGCCCATTGTTACATAAAACCATTCAATATAACCCTACATTAGGTCTAGAGAAAAAGCCATTCAATTTAATCCTACATTAGGTCTAGAGAATAGGCCATTCAATATAACCCTACATTAGGTCTAGAGAATAAGCCATTCAATATAACCCTACATTAAAGAATAAGCCATTCAATATAACCCTACATTAAGTCTAGGGAAAAAGCCATTCAATATAACCCTACATTAGGTCTAGAGAATAAGCCATTCAATATAACCCTACATTAAAGAATAAGCCATTCAATATAACCCTACATTAAGTCTAGGGAAAAAGCCATTCAATATAACCCTACATTAGAGAAAAAGCCATTCAATATAACCCCATATTAGGTCTAGAGAAAAGAGCCATTTAATATAACCCCACACCAACTCTAGCAAATAAAAAACAACCCATTGAACTCACTAGCTGTGAAGACAGCGAAGACGACTTGCAGGGAGTCAAAGAAGAGGAACATGATGAGCAGGGAGATGGAGGCGCCAACAGGCAGGAACATGGCCTGGCAGGTGTCCAGGGTCTGGAGCTCTGTGAACAAAAAAAACGTGTTACCTTGATAAGTCTCCCGAGTCATCGTTTCTGAAAACAAAAAAAAATTTATTCCATCTTCTGTCGTTTGGATCAACATGAAACATTTAGCATGGCTGAAAGGGATTTGTTTATTGGATGTGGATGAGTTTCTCATCCTTTTGCACACAGGCTGTTATTGTCCTGTGTACATTAGGGTGAAAGCCGATTAGATAACTTGAAAACTATGCTCTCTTTAAATAACACCATGTGTAATTAGTGATGTGTGTTGATACCAGTCCATTTTTTTAGAGCTTATAACAATAGACAAAATTAATTTAATTTTAAAAAATATATATAAATGTATAGCATTATCTAAATGTTAAAGGGTTAAGAAGTTAGTTGGATTGTAGAAGAAATATTGTGAAAGACATGGGACCAATGAAAATGGTTTTACAGGACCACTGTGACCTCAGACTTACGGGATTCACTGTCTGAGCTGCCACCCCCGGGTAAAGATAAGCCAAACTTTTCTTTGTCTTTTTCATCTTTTTCTTTCTCTCTCTCAATATTTAATGATCTGAAACAAGCAGGAATGGTCATATTCAGCCTACTGTCAACACTGAGATAAATTCTAAACTGTTCACTAATGTATCAAACAAGGGGACCTACCTGAAGCTGCCATAGACTATGAGAAGGATTGAGATGATGAAGGTGGATATTCGTGAGGAGTCTACAATTGTTAGGGCCCTGAAAGTAAACACAGTTAAAAGATATGATAATCTTGTGTCAGACCCAAGTATCAACAATACATAGACTATGAGAAGGATCGAGATGATATTCGTGAGGAGTCTACAATTGTTAGGGCCCTGAAAGTAAACACAGTTAAAAGATATGATAATCTTGTGTCAGACACAAATATCAACAATACATAAAGCATTATACATACAAGCATGGTCCAGTTTAGAAATGATGTATGTTAACATTGACGATGTTTTGACAACAGAAGGTAAGTTGTGGACTTTTATTGTTATTAAAAACAGCTGTCAAAGACAGCAATTATGATGTAAACACTATTCTGCTGAATTCTACAAGTACAAGACCAATAATTTGAGAACAGGTTGAGTCACAGTTTTCAGAGGGGGTACCAATGGATATAGTATATTAAACAAAATTCACGATAATTCAGTTTTATTGTTAAGGATTTTTAATGTCTTTTTCAATTGTAGTGGGGTTGCGAGTCACTTGGCCTTCATAAAAAAGGTGCTTGTCACCTTAAAAGGGTGAATGGGTCAAGTCACACAACTTTACCAGGTACATGCCAGGTATCACCAATATTTTCACTTTTACCAGTTTAATTTTAAGCTACAAACAACAAGAGATGGTCTTCATCTGAGAAAGCTACTTTTTTAACTTTCTAACAGCCAAACTAGGGACACAATAAAAACAGAGAAATACCAAGTTGTGTGCCTTAAAGGCAGGATCATGCTATAATGGTGGGATCAACAGGGGAGATTTTATAGAGATAACCTGGGAGTTGATGACATCAAATGTACGACAGGTAAAACTGTGTGGGGGGCTGAAGGTGCAGCTAAGGTGTTGTGCACAGGTCACACCACAACAGATGACCCATGACCCCACTACAGGTAACCCGTGACCCCACAACAGGTGACCCATGACCCCTCAACAGATGACCCATGACCCCACTACAGGTAACCCATGACCCCACTACAGGTAACCCATGACCCCACAACAGATGACCCATGACCCCACTACAGGTAACCCGTGACCCCACAACAGGTGACCCATGACCCCTCAACAGATGACCCATGACCCCACTACAGGTAACCCATGACCCCACTACAGGTAACCCATGACCCCACAACAGATGACCCATGACCCCACTACAGGTAACCCGTGACCCCACAACAGGTGACCCATGACCCCTCAACAGATGACCCATGACCCCACAACAGGTGACCCATGACCCCTCAACAGATGACCCATGACCCCACTACAGGTAACCCGTGACCCCACTACAGGTAACCCGTGACCCCACTACAGGTAACCCGTGACCCCACAACAGATGACCCATGACCCCACTACAGGTAACCCGTGACCCCACAACAGGTGACCTGTGACCCCACAACAGCAGGTGACCAATGACCCCACAACAGGTGACCCATGGTCCCACAACAGGTGACCCATGACCCCACAACAGGTGACCCATGACCCCTCAACAGATGACCCATGACCCCACTACAGGTAACCCGTGACCCCACTACAGGTAACCCGTGACCCCACTACAGGTAACCCGTGACCCCACAACAGATGACCCATGACCCCACTACAGGTAACCCGTGACCCAACAGGTGACCTGTGACCCCACAACAGCAGGTGACCAATGACCCCACAACAGGTGACCCATGGTCCCACAACAGGTGACCCGTGACCCAACAACAGGTGACCCATGACCCCACAACAGCAGGTGACCCATAGCTGACACGTGACCCCACAACAGCAGGTAACCCATGGTCCCACAACAGCAGGTGACCCATGGCCCCACAACAGCTGACCCATGACCCCACAACAGCAGGTGACCCATGGCCCCACAACAGCAGGTGACCCATGGCCCCACAACAGGTGACCCATGGTCCCACAACAGGTGACCCGTGACCCCACAACAGCAGGTGACCCATGGTCCCACAAGAGGTGACCTATGCCACCATGCACCAGGTTATCAGGTAACATAACATCCCATAAAGGTGTGCTATGACATAAGAGATGAACTATTACTACCTATATTAGGTACCCTACTACACCCTCCCCCCCCCCACACCATGAAATGTAAACACATGAATTAATTTGACTTTATTACCACCACATGATTAAGACCCCCACCAACCACCCTCAAGAAACACATGGTAATGTAACTACCTGATTCCCAGGTATTGACCAAGCTACACATAACAATGGGAGGGATTAGCCAGGAATCAATGCCAAATCAACTTTTCCAATTCCAGTTTTATTTCTTCACTTTACAACACAAAGGACAGTGTGTTGTCACAAGAAATCTATTAACTGGTTAAAAATAAATGCCAGTTAGCCCAGTTGTGTCCCAGGGTAAGATCAACAAATAGCAGAGATATTTTGTTATCAAGTATTAGGTCGGGGGGGGGGGGGGGGGGGGGAGGAGACACAAAGTCATCCAGCATTAGGTCATGGGACTAAGTCATCCAGCATTAGATCAGGGGACTAAGTCATCTTGCATTAGGTCATGTGACTAAGTCATCCAGCATTAGGTCAGGGGACTAAGTCATCTTGCATTAGGTCAGGGGACTAAGTCATCCAACATTAGGTCAGGGGACTAAGTCATCCAGCATTATGCTAGGACTAAGTCATCCAGCATTAGGTCAGGGGACTAAGTCATCCAGCGTTAGGTCAGGGGACTAAGTCATCCTGCATTAGGTCATGGGACTAATTAATCCAGCATAAGGTCATGGGACTAAGTCATCCAGCATTAGGTCATGGGACTAAGTCATCCAACATTAGGTCAGGGGACTAAGTCATCCAACATTAGGTCATGTGACAAAGACATCCAACATTAGGTCATGGGACTAAGTCATCCAACATTAGGTCAGGGGAAAGTCATCCAACATTATGTCAGGGGACAAAGTCATCCAGCATTAGGTCAGGGGACTAAGTCATCCTTCATTAGGTCAGGGGACTAAGTCATCCAGCATTAGGTCAGGGGACTAAGTCATCCAGCATTAGGTCAGGGGACTAAGTCATCTTGCATTAGGTCAGGGCACTAAGTCATTCAGCATTAGGTCAGGGGACTAAGTCATCCAGCATTAGGTCATGGGACTAAGTCATCCTGCATTAGGTCATGGGACTAAGTCATCCAGCATTAGGTCATGGGACTAAGTCATCCTGCATTAGGTCATGGGACTAAGTCATCCAGCATTAGGTCAGGGGACTAAGTCATCCAGCATTAGGTCAGGGGACTAATCCAGCATTAGGTCATGGGACTAAGTCATCCAGCATTAGGTCAGGGGACTAAATCATCCAGCATGGGACTAAGTCATCCAGCATTAGGTCAAGGGGCTAAGTCATCCAGCATTTGGTCAAGGGACAAAGTAATCCAGCATTAGGTCATTAGTTCACTAACACACAACCTGCTATGGCAAAACCACAGAGACACAACCAGTAAAGACACAACTACATAGTCTGTAACAGCACAACCACGGCCATTTAATACCCGTGTCACTGTCCTCTGGTTGCTTACACAAGCAATCGATAAAACGTCAATGGTTCACCGGCTCTGCTTCATTGGTCACAGTACAAGCAACACCCTGTACTTGGGCGACAACAGCGCCGTTAAAACTGTCTTGGGTGACATCTAAACCGTTAAAACAGTCTTGGGTGACATCGAAACCGGTAAAACTGTCTTGAGTGACAACGGACCCGTTAAAACTGTCTTGAGCGACAACAGCGCTGTTAAAACTGTCTTGAGTGACAAGAAAACCGTTACATTTTCTTGTGTGACAAAGCTCCGTTAAATTATATGTCTATTGTGACAACGAAACCGATAATTTTGTCTAGTGTGACACCAGCTATGTTAGATCTGTCTTTTTGGTTGTGTGAAGATTAGTCTTGTTGGTTGTATGCATTCAGCGAGTACGTTGTTCTTCGCGACTTGCCGTTGCGTTAAGCCGGGCGTCTCAATGTACTGGTAATGGGTTTATAGGTCACACTAGCTCAAGCCTCGGTCGACGGTGACTTTTTAAAACAGTATTAGTGACACAGATCCTCTAGTTTAAAAAGGTATTGGTGACAGATTCCCTAGTTTAAAAAGGTATTGGTGACACAGTATCCCTTAGTTTAAACAGGTATTGGCGACAGTATCCCTTAGTTTAAAAAGGTATTGGTGACAAAGTATAACTTAGTTTAAAAAGGTATTGGTGACACAGATTCCCTAGTTTAAAAAGGTATTGGCGACAGTATCCCTTAGTTTAAAAAGGTATTGGTGACAAAGTATAACTTAGTTTAAAAAGGTATTGGTGACACAGATTCCCTAGTTTAAAAAGGTATTGGTGACACAGATTCCCTAGTTTAAAAAGGTATTGGTGACACAGATCCTCTAGTTTAAAAAGGTATTGGTGACACAGATCCTCTAGTTTAAAAAGGTATTGGTGACACAGATCCTCTAGTTTAAAAAGGTATTGGTGACACAGATCCTCTAGTTTAAAAAGGTATTGGTGACACAGATCCTCTAGTTTAAAAAAGTATTGGTGACACAGATCCTCTAGTTTAAAAAGGTATTGGTGACACAGATCCTCTAGTTTAAAAAAGTATTGGTGACACAGATCCTCTAGTTTAAAAAGGTATTGGTGACACAGATCCTCTAGTTTAAAAAGGTATTGGTGACACAGATCCTCTAGTTTAAAAAGGTATTGGTGACACAGTATCCCTTAGTTTAAACAGGTATTGGCGACAGTATCCCTTAGTTTAAAAAGGTATTGGTGACACAGATTCCCTAGTTTAAAAAGGTATTGGCGACAGTATCCCTTAGTTTAAAAAGGTATTGGTGACAAAGTATAACTTAGTTTAAAAAGGTATTGGTGACACAGATTCCCTAGTTTAAAAAGGTATTGGTGACACAGATTCCCTAGTTTAAAAAGGTATTGGTGACACAGTATCCCTAGTTTAAAAAGGCATTGGTGACACAGTATCCCTAGTTTAAAAAA